GTGCTTACGAACGGAGGCTATGACAAGTAACAAATACAAGTGCCAGTTCCAACCTGCACACAAATTCAACTTAAGAAGAAACCTGGAGAACCTGTCTCATTCATAACCAGGAACTGCCTGCAGTTGGACAAAGCAAGCCCTGGAAGGAAGCGCTCTGTTCCTGGTCCATGGGTGTCCTGGGTCTGAAAGCGCAGTGCAAAGTAAACAAATTCCCAGCATTGAGGCTGGTTGGGGATGGGCTTGGGGTCCTCTGTGTGTGGCCCCCACAATGCAGGCTGCACCAGGTCTGGGACAGGCACCCTTCCATGCCCAGGAGGGCCCTTTGCCCACACGTGTGCCCTGTGCCATGCCCGGTGCCCTGCACTGCATGTGTGTGGGGTGGGGCATTCTGCCACCATGTCACCCAGCTGTCCCCCTCAAAGGAAGGTCTGAGGACAGCTGGGCATGTGGGCGTCCAGCAGCACACTGGCACTATCAGGCCAAACCACAGAGAGGATGTCTACAGAGAAAAAAGCAAACCTATTATCTACAAAAGTCATGACGAGTGTCTCAGGTCTCCACCACCACAGAGGAAGCTGGCACAGTCAATGCTGCTGCTGAGTTCAGAGTCTCAGTGTGTGTTCACTTGTTGAGCGTTCAGACGTGCATGTAGTTCAGTGAAGTATTTTCAAATGCAGCTATTTCAATTACAGTCATCTTTCATGGGAATTTTCTATAGAAAAGTATTTTATATTTGTTTTTAACATTTTAAACTATTTTTCCCTACTAACGTAAAATTTAACTTGTGAATGACACTGTTTTTGTTTGGTTTGGTTTTTTTTTTTACAAAAATATAGTTATAGTTTGTTCTTTAACACATTTCCAGGGCACCAGTACTTTCTGCCTGGGCTAACCTCGGAAGCAACCCCTTCTGCTCTAATCAGCGGCTCGGCACCAAGGTACACTGGGCAGCAGCCAGTGTGGCCCACCATTTGCCAGCTACTTTCCTCTTGTTTTGTAATTTAACTGGATTTGATTGCTTAAATAACTTGGACTGTGTACATCTTGGACTTACAACATGAGGTTATTGGACACGCAGAGGTCATACCATGGTTGCTCTGGTGAAGCAGAGTGACACATCTATCATTCAGTTATTATACCAGAACGCGAACATCTAAAACCTACATGGGTAGGTGCTGGCCATGGGTGTGGTGGTCAGCCAGAGAAATTGACTCTCCAAGGTCAAGGGGGGAGCGCAGGTCCACATGGTGTGTCCAGAGCCCAGTTCTCTGAGACCCCAATTCTAAGGTTGGGGGCCCACCAGTGGGGCACTCAAAGCACCCCAAGGAGTAGCCTGACCCCTGGCCACACGGTGAGTAGCTCAGCCCCATCCCTCTGTCCATCTGTCCCTTATCTCTTTGTCTTTCTGCCTTTCTGCCCCTCTGTGCCTCTGACAGAGGACTCATCTCTCCCTCCTTCTGTCCCTCTGTCCCCCATTGCTCTGTTCATCTGTCATTCTGTCCCTCAGTTCATTTGTCCCTCTGACCTTCTGTCCCTTTGCCTTTTTGTCCCTCTGTAGCATTATTTTTACTTCTATACCTTTATACTTCACTTTTTGTATTCAGAAATGATGTAATCATTACAATATGTTTATTTAAAGTATTAGCCAAACTTTTTTTGCTACATCATTGTCTTGCAAACCCAATAGCATATTGAACTAAATGAGTAAATTAAAGTTACATTTTCTACTTGAAAGTAGCTGATTTCTTTCTTATGTCCTTCTTGAAACACTCCAGGATTTAAGAACAAGACTGATCATGAGCACATCTGTCTACCTGCAGCCTGGGCACACCTGGCCAGGCACAGTGCAGGTGCCAAGTGGCAGGTGAGGCTGGGGCACACATCTGATGCAGAGCAACAATTTGCATCCACTCTATTCTGCCTACAGCACTCTGTGGTTTTCCATGCCCCCCAGTTGAGTGCAAACTCCATGGCCATCGCTGCAGCCCTTTGCCATCTGCTCCACCAGCCTCTACCAGCCCCTCTGAGTCCCACACGCCACTCTGAATGGGATTCTGCCAGGGTTCTTTATGCTTTTCTTAGAGCAAGGGAAAGATGACACCATGGTGTGAAGAATATTTTAGAAACAGCATCTGACCACGCAATCAGAAGGGGCCTCTACAGTCTGCAATACCATTCTCCCTACACCTGCACATCCGACTTCACCTTCCCAGGGACTCTTCCTGTGGATCCACCTGACTACCTACTGTAGCTCCTGCCCCAGCCCTTCTGTAGCCTAATGGCTGAGCATCCTAAAATACTTTGAATAAACTGTGGTGGCAGAAAATGTCCTGGGTATTGTGGAGCTATCAGCATCAGCAAAGCCACAGGTCCTTGCTAAGAGGAAGTATGACCATCAAGTCGGGTGCCCATGGATGCTGCAGGCCAACAGGTGCACAGGGGGACAGCTGGTCCAGAGGGTTCTAAATCTGAGCAGATAGAGATTTCTTCATAATATCAGCAAGAGGGGCTCTCAAGTTTAAAGGCCATGGAAAAATATCATCTTTATCATCTGAAAATGGAGCTCACGTCTGTGTTCTTAGTGTCACAGGGAATCATGACAGGAAAGGAAGTATGTTCAGAACGTGGCTGAGGGCTGAGGTCACACACGCCCAGTGGCCGCTGCTTGGTTTTAAGAGGATTTTGAAACTAAAGCCACACAGCACCCTCTCAGAGGGGCTTTCAGTCTGTGTGATCTCTATCCTAAATAACAAGAGAAATAAGGTAAATCTTTCTGAAAAGTGATTCTATTTGTGTTTGGAAAATCAGTGTGTTTTAGTGAGTTGAAACCTTCATTAATGTGGGAAGCATTTCAATGTTTTACTCTAAGTGAACTATTTAAATCTGTTTCTTAAAATATGAACATCAAAAACTGCAAGTGTAAAATCATAACCAAAAGAAAAAAATAATTACTGAACACAACTTGACCCTACACAGCCCATAACAATCACTGAACAGGAGGCAGGCATCACCTACCTCCCACATATCCGATAATAATCACTGAACACCACCCCCTCCTACCCCACACATCTCATAATAATCACTGAACAGGACACGGGGCACCTCCTATGGCACACATCCCATCATAATCACTGAACACCACATGGGAACCCCCTACCCCACACATCCCATAATAATCACTGAACACAACATGGGCCCCTCCCACCCCACACATCCCATAATAATCACTGAACACACATGGGCACCTCCTATGGCACACATCCCATCATAATCACTGAACACCACATGGGAACCCCCTACCCCACACATCCCATAATAATAATCACTGAACACAACATGGGCCCCTCCCACCCCACACATCCCATAATAATAATCACTGAACATGACATGGGCCCCTCCCACCCCACACATCCCATAATAATAA